ACTAGTATTATTTTTAGTGTGCATCCAAAGCTACACCCACCGGGCACACCACGTTGTTTCAACGTTGAAATTTGGTAGAAAAAAGGTTGCGACGTCGACAACCTAATATCTACGTTGGTCTGACGTTGTTTCAAAAACATTGGTTCAACAGCAGCCAACAGACGTTGAATTAACTTTCACTCATGGTTAAATGTACGACGTCGATTTGTGAACCGATCTCGACGTTGTTTTAACGTGGATTCAACGTTGAATTATGGTTGACGAGATTGGCAACCTAATTTCAACGTTGTTTCAACGTCAAAACAGTAACGTCGATCCAATTTGCATAGTCAACCCTTTTTCAACGTCTATCCAACGTCTGGTAGGTCATTTCCAACGTTGATTCAACGTTGGATAAACGTCATTTTGCCCGCTGGGCAGTAGATTCAATTATTTTATCAATAATCATTAATTTATTTAACACAATTAGGCACCAGCACTCTCCACTTAGACTTGATCAGTTAAATGGTCTGGCGTTAGACAGAGAACAATAATTTGGCATTTAAAAGACAGTTAAATAAGGAACTACTGTAGGGCACATAAGGGCACACTACAACTTAATGGGACATGATTAGACACATGGCCATATTAACCCAATTTGAAACAGGAATACTTCTCGAGAAGTTTAGCAGATTGCTAAGATGGGGTGTTAACAGGATATTACGCTAGGCTATACATTACATAAGCTGCATTGTGCAACAACTTTATTGTTTTACTCAGTCTAATGTTAGATGATTTTACCTGTCAGTGATTTCACTGAATGGCTTACTGAAACAAGTAGCACTCCTCTCCTATACAACTGAGGTGAAATCGTAACCATATGAATGTACAGCATTAATGTTTTCAGCCTGAATGAGGCAACAGCAAACTACAAATACCAACTACCAACAACATCACCCTGCTTACATTTTATAAAGCATCTAATGGATTTTGCCGTTCAAATATTCTTAATCATTTTGTAAACTCTATCCTACATAACAGAATAAATTAGATAAATTATTTATTTCTTTTTGTGGGAAAGATTTGATTCACTATGGTTCCACCCATAGACCAAGTGATTGCTATGCTAACCCAGAAATCATGGTCCTACAGTCAAAATGTTAACCCATTAAGTTACAACGCACCCTTGTGATCCTACTTTATTACTTTACTGTCTAACACCGAGGCAATTTTCTTTGTGAGCAGGAGAGTGCTTAATTAATATTATTTTTTAATATGTGATTCTAGAAACAAAAGTACTTCACCTAATGAAGAATATCAATTCACTCTTCAAATAAAAAAGTTAACCTGCTATAAGAGCAAAGTGGAGATCATAAACTTTATTGAGGTGAGTTAATAGTTTCATTTAAGTTTATAAAATATATGCATGGTCAGTCATAAAGTAATTACTAGAGGGAGGTGGAGGATAAATGAAGTTTCAAGTAACATATTTCCATACCCTCCTGAAACCTATGGAAACATTATCATAACCTCCCTCAATGTAAGTGAACATTTTCATTACCCCCCCCCCCTCGGACCTCTTCAATAATTAACAGGTTCTAATGGTGTGAGCTTACTAGCATTGTCATTGACAATTCAGATGTATCAGGTTTGTACTCCAAACGTTCCATGGATACTGAATTCTACTTATCATCTGACATTGAATCAGACTGAAACATATATACTTTTTGTTGATTTAATAATAATTTTTGTAAAAACAATTCTTTCCAAACTTAAATCTGGGCACAAATACATTCAATATTCAAAAATAATTATAAAATGTAATTTTTTTCCGTACGAATATACTATAATTTGGTACCCCCTAGAGGTTCTGTTGGTTTTTTGTACCCCTCTAAGATGTTTTTCATCCCTCCCCCCAAAAAAGCTTCACACCCCCTAGTAACTACCGGTCCCTAAGGCTGAAACGCATAATCAAATTTAGTGTACGTATACATCTTCATAGTTTTGAGCCTTCCAGTTCCTATAGTTGAGATAAGTTAATATGGGCTAACAAAACTATCTGCCAGTGTCTCTTTTTCCATCGATCGTAGTATTTCGCTCTGTCTAACCCCAGAGGATAGCTTGTAAGTGAAAAATAAGCTGTTAATTAATGGGTTGTGCAGTTGTTCTCAAAACTAATTTTGTGTCCCCTCCCCCAAAGAATGGAGACACAGCCTTGACTACCTGGTTACAAAAGAAGCCGGCTGACATGCTGTACAAAGGCTGATTATGACAAGGAGTTGTTGGCAACATTTGAGAATAGTGAAACTGGCAAAGCCGTTACAGTATTTGCTTCCTGGCGTCGTTCTACCTGCTCGACTTAGACTGTCAATCCAGAGTTGGCAGTCTGACATGGTAAAGGCTTTTCAAGAAATTGAACAATATTGCCACGAGTGAGAACTTTTACATTTATCTATATCAGTAATTACTTTAATAACCTAGTCATGTTTAGCTGGTAAATATATTATTTTAAACGTTCTTAATTGTTTTAGTATTGTTTTTATATTGTAAAGGATGACAACAGCAAAAAATCATGCCAAGATTATTATTCTAGTTTCACCTTGCCCTTCAAGAAAAATATTCTTAAAAACCACACAGGATCGAACTAGAATAATTTTCTTAGCAAGATTTCAATTCAAGAAAATTTTTCTAATTTTGTCCCGTGGGTAAGTAAGATTTTCTTATTAAGATTATTTTTCTTATTTCAAGAATACGTTCTAGCAAAATTTTCTTATTATTAGAAAATAATTCTTGGGGAACTAAGAATTTTTTTCTAGAAATAAGAACGTTTTGCTAGAACGTTTTCTTGAAATAAGAAAAATATTCTTGATAAGAAAATCTTACTTACCCACGGGACAAAATTAGAAAAATTATCTTGAATTGAAATCTTGCTAACGATCCGGTGTGGCTTTTAAGAATAATTTTCTTGAATAGCAAGATGAAACTAGAATAATAATCTTGGCATGATTTTTTGCTGTTGTCATCCTATACAATATAAAAACAATACTAAACCATTAAGAACGTTTAAAATAATATATTTACCAGCTATACATGAATAGGTTATTAAAGTAATTACTGATATAGATAAATGTAAAAGTTCTCACTCGTGGCAATATCGTTCAATTTCTTGAAAAGCCTTTACCTTGTCAGACAGCCAACTCTGGATGGATAGTCTATATCGAGCAGGTAGAACGACGCCAGGAAGTAAATACTGCAACTGCTTTGCCAGTTTCACTATTCTCAAATGTTGCATGCCAACAACTTCTTGTCATAATCAGCCTTTGTACAGCATGTTATATAGCGGGCTTCTTTTGTTCCGTCGACCCGCGAATAAAACCCGCGACCCGCGACAATTAGATTATCTCATCTGAAAACATTAAGATAAAAGTATACAGGATAAAACGGTACAAAACTCGACTTGAAAATTTTTGACAAACTGATCCGGTAGTGTATAAAAAAAACGAGGGTTGTTTCTTGAGTTCGTGCATACGCAAGCGCACATTTTTGCAACAACGTGATCAACAAAAATCAGCAAAGAGCAGATATCTCATTTCTGTGTGGGAGATTTCCCTCTTAAAGAGCATGCAGAGTCAAATTGTATGGTACCAATTTACCTTCGCAAACAGTTCCATTTCCAGTATATCCACCATCACATGTACAAAGAAAAGATCCATCAGTATTAGTACAAGAAGCGTTGGAATGACAGTTGTGAAGAAATAAAGCACATTCGTTGACATCTAAAGATTATTAAAACAGACATGTTTGAGTGAACGTTTAATTTAATATTTTTGTATTGCAGTGCCGAATTGATAAGCCAAATCGTTAAGTCAAAGTAAATCTGGTGAATGACATTTTTGATCACATGGTTACCAAAATTACTGTTGATGCAACCTATCTTAATGCAAAGGGACTTTATTTAAACAGGAATTAGCCATTAGGTAATATAATTATTGCTAAATCAATTTCGACTTATATTAGAAAACTTAGAACGGCGAATTCAGGTAGTACTAATTTTCTAAACAATTCCACAGGATAGGGCGATTGATTATTGTGATTTCGGTTTACCTAAGTCAAACGACTTGAATAGGATGGGATGTATATATATATATATATATATATACATATATATATATATATATATATATATATATATATATATATATATATATATATATATATATATATATATATATATATATATTTTTATATATAAATAAAGATAAAATAAACCTGGTTTACTTCATAAGATTTATTCACTACAAACTTGTTTCGTATGACAAGCAATGCTTGCCACACTCATCAGGTGAATTTAAATGTCGCGCTATGTTGTTGCCAAGGTTATATATACTATACACATGTTTGACGTAAACGGAATGTTCAAGTATTAAATTACGTATAGATTACATATATATAATGTATATTACTTAATATAATCTGTATATATATGTAATCTATACGTAATTTAATACTTGAACACTCCGTTTACGTCAAACATGTATATAGTATATATAACCTTGGCAACAACATAGCGCGACATTTAAATTCACCTGATGAGTGTGGCAAGCATTGCTTGTCATACGAAACAAGTTTGTAGTGAATAAATCTTATGAAGTAAACCAGGTTTATTTTATCTTTATCTACTAGCTCTACACTTCGGTATATCGAGCACTCTACTCATATATGATTCTAAATACATATTTGGTATATATATATATATATATATATATATATATATATATATATATATATATATATATATATATATATATATATATATATATATATATATATATATATATATATATATATATATATATATATTCAATATTGAATTTGTGCGTAGTGAACTAGAGTGTTCAACACCAATAAATCAGTAGAGCAAATAAAAAGACATAAACAACAAATTTCAATCTCAATTTCAATTTCAACAAATTGGAATCGCCTGATGATCGTACGCTGTACGTGAAACACTGTGTAGCGATGAAATAAAATTTTAAGATTGAAATTTGTTGTTTATGTCTTTTTATATATATATATATATATATATATATATATATATATATATATATATATATATATATATATATATATATATATATATATATATATATATATATATATATATATATTAAGATGGAGATGTTCTAGAGTGTGTATTATATAATTTCCATACCCAGCGCAAGCAGAAAGATGTTTTCTGCCGCCGCCCGCCGCTGGGTCTTGAACCCGCGACCTTCGAATTAACATTTTCATCTTAACGTGCATATTACGGAGTGTACAATTACACAATTTAACACTCTTTTTAACCATATCAAAACCTTACATATTGAACGAATTATGCATGTATATATTGAACGAATTATGCATATATATATATATATATATATATATATATATATATATATATATATATATATATATATATATATATATATATATATGTTGACAACATGGCCATTCACCGCATATGAGCTGTCCTGCAGTCTGATTGGTCGAATTACTCGCCGTATATCAGCTCATAATGTATACGGCGAGTAGCGAACAACAAGATGGCGGTCCAAAAACTACACGAGTTTTGCGAAGCAGAAAAAATGAAAATATTCGCTTTGAGAAAGATAATAGTACAAGGAAAAACTCTCAAAAAAAATTGGTTAGCAAAATACATTTATTACATAGAAATTAGTTTAAATACAAATTTTTTAAAGAATTAATACCGAAACAACAGCGAAAAAAACATGCTCTTTTAGAATATAAATTTTTCAGAAAAATTTGCAACGAAAAACAAATAAATTTGCAGTCAACTAGCACTTACTATACTACCAAACATCTGTATAATATATCTGCAGAGCTTTTCTGCGAGATATACCGGTTCTAAAACCATTTCCTTCACTTCGTCTTCGAGTTGTAAAACAAAAGTGTTCCAAATTTTCAAGGCCAAGCGGTTTTTGCCGAACAAATTGTCAAGACATTGTAAC